ACCTATATGAAAAATTTTATTATTTCCCATAAATTCTGCTTCTGTCAACAATGCAGAATCAGTATTTGAAAGAGAACATAATAAAATGTGTCCAGATATACTTGCTGCTTGATTTAGTTTAGACTTCAGGAATAATGGGAAATCATTAGTATCAAATACAGTGCTGCCTGACACTTGTTGCTCAGAACCTGTGTTAAGTGAAGCCAGTGTCACTTTCAAGGCAGAAGAAAGCAACTTTCTGTGTCCCCCAGATTTTCACTTCAGTTCCAGAAAAACCTAGTTTGTCTACTGTGTGTCGGGTTCTGAGACAGCTTTCAGGAAAATAACGGCACAGCGCCCAGTTTTCAGATTTTCACAGCCCCATGGAGAAGCAGAACATGTGACTACAGTGAAACAATTATAATTCTGCTTTACAGAGTATAAAGGAAGTCATGCTTAGGAGGAGTTCAGGGAAAGCCTTCACAGAAATGGTGATTCATGAGCAGAAATTTTAACAAAAGTTCATTAGGTGAACAAAGAGAGAAGGCTGATGGAGGTGAGATAAAAGTGTGAAGTTTTAAGAGTCTAAAACAGCTCCGGGAGTGTGGGTGTTTGGTATTTGCTACAAAGTAGAGTCTGGGGAAGTTGGAGAAAAGGGATTGAAGTGGGAGAAGGCCAAATGTGGCTGTAGTGAAGAGAAACGAAGGGGCCAGGAAATGAGTCTTAATTGCCATGTGTAGTGCCTTGGATTTTACCCTTAGAATGATTTAAGGTTTTTGAGCATGTCATTTTATGGTCACATTTCCATTTTGGAAAGATTATTTGTGATTAGCTTAAGGAGAATGGTGTGGTGGCAACAAGATTGTATGGTAGCATGGAGACCTAGTTAAAAGGGTAATGCGATACTTTAAATGAGTGTTGAGATGATTTTCTGGTGTAAAACTTTCTGTTGATTCATAAATATGCTGCCACATTTGTGACTGTTGGCAAATTAAAAATATTTGTAGTATTCAGTAGAACAAATTCATTGCTGCTTTTATAGTTTGAAATTATTCATGGAATTAATAGCATTAAAAAATTGAAAGAGGGTTAGTATTTTATTTGTCAGTGGAATTAAACCACTCAACCTCTCACACAAACAAAAATCTTGTAATTTTGTTATATAATGTGGAATATAACCGTACAATGATATATTGAATTTTTAATATATACTTATCTAGTTATTTGTAGAAATTGTGCATATTTGAAAACAAGGACATGATGTGCTTAGTACATGGTAAGTACTCAGTAACTATTTGCTGAGTTTGCATTTGATGCTTGTGAGTTTTAACCAAGACACTTTATTAATTCAAGTCCTGGAATAAGTGACATATATATATATTTTAAATAAAGATAGGACCTCGCTCTGTCACTCAGGCTGGAGTACAGTAGCACAGTCGTGGCTTGCTGTAACCTCAAACTCCTGGGCTCAAGTGATTCTCTTGCCTTAGCCTCTGGAGAAGCTAGGAATATAGGCACACACCACTACACTCAGCTAATTTTTAAAATTTTTTGTAGAGATGGAATCTCACAGCAGCCCAGGCTGGTCTCAAATTCCTGGGTTCAAGCAATCCTCCCACCCCGACCTCCCAAAGTGCTGGGATTACAGGCATGAGCCACTGCACCCACCCATGACTGATACTTTTAAGCAGAAAGTTAAATTCCAAACCAACAGAAAAAAAAGAAATGTTTTTCAGGGAAAATTAAAGTCACAAATACATATAAGATGCTAACTTTGCAAAGAGCATGTATTTAAAAGATCATTGCAACTCATATAATTGGAAAAGCACGTTTGAAAATAGCTTTAAATTTTCTCACAGAAAATATGACGTATGAGTTTTCCTACGAAATCTTTGTTTTGATGCGTGAATTCTCAGTTCTTAGTCTCTACAGCAAGACACAAAAGTTAAGAGTTGAAGAGATTAGCATATCCATAGCATTGAGCGGGGTATATATTATTAGCTTACCACATCTTTGTCAATTTGAACCCAGGATTAAAACAAAATGTTGCTATTTAAGTACATATGGTAGTACACAACTACAACATAAATGTTAGACTGTATGTCCCTAACCAAATAATGGAATAATGATCAGTATCCATCAAGTGTTAGTTATCTGCAGTTCAGACTAATACTCTGGAAGCAGATTCTTTTATATTAGCCAAACTTTGTTTACATTTATGTAGAATATTTTCAGTGCATAGAGTTTTATGACTGCAAAATTATTACTTTGCATTTGATACCAGATTTTATTTCAGTTTTCAGAGATTATGTTCAGGTTTTAGAGGTTAAGATGAATTTGCTATGCTTGATTTTTATAGAAGAATTTAAAAAAGTAACATTTTAGTAGAATCTGTTTATCTTGTCTCTTTTTTCCCCGTATGATAATTGATTGTAGTACATTACTTTGAGGAAAGTTTTTTAGCAAAACGTATTTTTACTTCACACTCTTAATAGATTTCTGTTAGGGGAATCACTGGTGACATGTTTTAAAGCAGAGATCTTTTCATGCTTATTTTTACTATTTAATGAGATTTCAGGTATATTTTAACAACTTGGGGTTTCCGTGATGAATCATTAAAATAAATGAGTGGGCTGGAAGGTAATACTAACTTTTCTCACCACTGCCCTATTTTACTCTGCTGGGTTATTGGTTGCTTTTTAAATAGAACCTGGGTGTGTTGGTGGGTGGAGGTGCAGAAGGGAAGGGAGAGAAAGGGTCAGTAAGAAAATACCAGGTAAACTTCTGATGACCTACTGAGAAATACTGCTCAAGTTTCACTTTCCCCAAATTAAGCCATTTAGTGTTTAAGCCCACTGTTTTTTGCTTTAACAAGCTTAAGTTTCCAAATATTGCATATAGGTAAATCAAAACTATATTTTCAACAATTGATTGAAGTTTTAAGGTATCAAGCCATATGTGGATTAGCCTGTGGAATCAATTTCTCATGTGTGTGGGATCAAAACCGTTAAAACCATCATCACTGAAACTGTAGCTTCCTACAACTAATAACAGAAGGGTGTCTATGGAATATATTAATACAACAATTTCTCTGATTTAAAATTATTACTAGGTGTTTGGTTGGAAAATGATTTGAATATTATAGGTAACTAAATTGATGTCATATGAAGGCTAATTACAGGTTTCAGTGTGACTGAAATTTATTTTTTTAATTGACATGATATACTTATATTTAGCATATACTTTTCAGTAAATCAATGGCATATTGCAGATTTTTACTATCCATACTGTTAAAAACATTTCAACTACCACAGCAGTTCTAAGTGCTAAAGGAGGTAGATAAAAATGTAGTTCACCTTGAAAATGATCATGGCTTAGGGAATAAAGAAATTGGGTCAAGCCTAAAATAATTGCAGGTACAATGACAAAAAGTTTTAATAAAAATTTAAAAATACTCACAGCACTGGTTTCAGGCTACTTTTGTTCTCTGTGATCTTATCAATGCATTGTTAGTTTTTAATTGGGATGATGCTAATGGTGATTTTTCATTTTGGTCAAAATGTTTGTATGAAATACTATTGATATTTTCACATTATATCCCCTTTCAATTATAAATATACATTTTCAAAAAGGTAGACAATTCTTAAATAGATCATTTTGACTTCTGATGATCTTAAATAGAATTTGAAATGGTATAAAATATTTATGTCACAGCTATCACTTTGACTTATTTTATATTGCCAAATTTGTTGTTTAGCGTTTAGCCATGTATCATTAAATCATAGTATCGATAATGAATTAAACTTTCAAAAAGCTTTAATAGTATAGTAAGTTTTCATTCATCTGGTGTCATTGGGGAATAAATTGTGCTGAAGAAGTGAGTTTTTCTTTAACTGAAGCTTATTTAAGCAGAAAAACTTAAAAATTGATAAAATTTATCTGAAATATTTTATATGCTCTTTTAGGGAGCAAGCGTGGAGCGGCCATTTACTCTTTTCTTAATGTCGTATAATACTATTCTGAGTGCCATGCAAAAAGGACATGGGTTTTCTGTTTGGTATTTGTTTTCCAAACTAAGTTTTTTGTTGTTTCTTCCTTTTCAAGTGCCACATCCCTAATTCACATATTCTTTTGTTGTTGTTGTTGTTTTGAGATGGAGTTTCGCTCTTGTTGCTAGGACTGGAGTGCAGTTGTGCTATCTCGGCTCACTGCAACCTCTGCCTCCCAGGTTCAAGCAGTTCTGCTTCAGCCTCCCAAGTAGCTGGGATTACAAGCATGCGTCACCATACCTGGCTAATTTTGTATTTTTCATAGAGACAGGCTTTCACCGTGTTGGCCAATCTGCTTTTGAACTCCTGACCTCAGGTGATCCATCTGCCTCGACCTCCCACAGTGCTGGGATTACAGGCATGAACCACCGCACCCAGCCTCATTCTGGTATTCTTAATCAGTTTAAATGTTTCATAATTTAAGGTTTCTGGTGGTACTTGGGACAATGCTTTAACAGGCTCATAAACTCAGGCACCAATAGGAGACTTTTGGCTGTCTGCCATCTTCTGGCAAACATCTGGCCACAGCCTCCTCCTATAAAGGAAACGCTGTCCTTGGTTTGGAGTTAGCACCTTAAACAGTGAGGCCCTATTACTGGTGGTTCCAAGTACTCCTTAGTAGCCTTTGCTAGTGGTGCAAAAATGTCTGTATTCACCCTACATGCTTGTGAACATCTGCGGTATCAAGGTGACCACTTGTAGCTTTCTCTGACTATTGCTGAAATGGGCAAATAGTGTATTCCCTTTGTATTTTAGCAAATTCCACCATAGCAGCGAAGTGTTTTTTTTTTTTTTTCTTTTTTCAACCTCATGCTTATTTGTTTCAAGCAGTTTTCTAAAACAAAACTCAAGCTTAGCCAAAGTATTTGAACTGTTCTTTAATGTGCTATATGCCATTTGGTTTGAATCATATATTTAAAAACCAGCTTCCCCCCATTTACTTGTATCTAATGGGAATCATCTTTCTTCCAGGTTGTGCTTCAAGAAGACCATAGGGAAGAACGCATTTTCATCTTGCTGCAAAAGTTGCAATAGAAGTAAGTAGGGGAACTGCCAGGATATGTCTGTCTCCACAAAACAAGTAGAACAAATTTCCATGAATCAAAGCCACTAAGTATAGTTTTCAGAGATGGTAGGACATAGTTATTTTCCCTAGAAAAACACCCCAAATGCAGGCACACCCATTGGCCAATGGAAAAAATGTTCACGTAAATGCTAGTTCAAACCTGTACATTTCACTCTTCTTACTGAACTGTCAGAGGGGTGGAAATCTACTATAGCTATAATCTTTTTTTCCCCTTTTCTATTTTTCAGCCTCCCACGTGCTTAGTGTTCAGTTCTGCCTACTGAGCGTCTTGAATCTACAGCAGCACCTACATGTACTGCCTCCACAGTGGCTGCTGATAATTTGCAGATAACTTGTGAACCAGGCCCATAAGAAACATCATGATATGTACTTTAGATTAATCATGGAAAAGGACAAGATGATGAAGAATCAGAAAGCAGTTTTCTTTTCCAATATTGATATTGCTTTCTTTGAGGTTAGATGAGTGAGGTATTCTTTAGAGTGGTTTATATCACATTTCATCACTTGGGGAAATAGGTCATTTTTACAAGAGCCTTTAGAGACCTTTTAAGTACATACAGGGCATATATTTAATACACCTTAGCATTAGTAGGTCAGAGGAAATAAAGCAAGATAGTAGATATCTACGATGTAATCAGGTAAGCAAATTAATGTGAAACTGCTTATATTCTGTCTTGAAACTCTTGGTATAATTTTCAAAATTGCCTTTTATTCTTTTCAGTTACTTTCTAGAAATTTCCATCATTTGAAGGATTAATGGCTACCACTTGTTGAACCTAGAGGGTGTCTGTGAACTTGTTGAACACTGCCTTATTAGAACAGAAGTCTCCAGTGGACCATGAACTCTGCATAGCTGGGACTCTGAGCTTACCTCTTACTCACAAAACCTGCAGGGCTCTCAAATTCATGTTTAAAATGCAAGCTACTGACAAGGAATGGGTAAACACCCACTGCAATTTCAAACGCATATGTATATCCATTTTCCTCATCTATTCTTGGTGGGTAGGAGACCACGATTGAAAATTACTGAACTTAAAATGGTAGAAAATTTGAAGAGATTCTTTCTCCTTAAGTAGAGTGATTTATACTAATGGTGGGATGGGCTAAATACCTTCTTACTGTTTGTAGTCTACTGTGCTTCACATGCATTTTCTAATTTTATCTTAACAACACACGTCTGAGGTTAGTACTGTTGTCTCTATTTTGGAGATGATGAGACTGGGTCCTACAAAGTTAGGTAACTTGTCCAAGGTCATACAGCTTGGAAGTGACAGAGCTGAGGTTCAAACGTGTATGTCCTTGATCTTAGGATTCGTGCCTTTTCCACCTGAGGACCACTGATTCTTATTTTGCATTTAAATGAAATACACATACACAGCCCCCACCCCCCCGCCCACATAATATATAAATATGTTCCCCCATCCTCCCAAATGCTCATTGGAAAATTTAGACATCAAAAAGAAGCCTTTTTGCTTTAAAATGCAATTTAAGTGGCCATTACTTTGAACAAAGTGAAGTGTAGTTTTATTAGTGAAGAACATCATTGAGTCATTGAGACTAATAATTTTGTGGAACAACATTATTAAGAAAAGCAATATGCTATTTAATGAGTAATATTTACTTAAGTCATAAAGGAAAATTCAAACATCTGGAATATTTTTTAAGCAATATAGCATTTATGCATGGAATGATGTTTTTCCCCTATGTCTTACAGGAAATAACATATAATTTGAGATGTATATGAGAGATTTTATGTTCATAGATATCTTTTTATTTCACTGAGCACATTAACAAAAATTATATTAAAATGAAAAATTGCTTGATAGCAAATTCTCTGTGATGAAATTTTATCATGTCTTTATTAACCCCATTATTGCTACTTTATCTCTCTTAATAGGTTGCTTGTCTAAAGAAAAGTTGTAGAAATCTTATTGGTTCACGCACATACAACTTTACCACATTGTTTTGGTGTTCCTTTGGGGGTGATATATTGGGAAGTGATCAAAGTATGTGTAGTGTCTCAAGAAATTGCATCCTCAAGTTTTTAACACTAGAAAATAGAGATTTGCATATGGTTGATATGCCTTCTTTTAAATACGTATTCACTAGGGGCAGTTATACCTGGTGAATTTAGAGATGTAGTAATACAAGAGTTACAGAATCAGAGAATTTCTGAACCAGAAAGGGCCTAATAAATGAAGGGCTCTTGAAGTGAAAGTCGTCATTAGGAGATGAGTTCAGTGACTGTCCAAGACTAGAGCTCTAAGTCAAGTAGCTTCTGAGATTACTGAGTTGGGCTTACAGCCGAACAAACCAGGAAGTGAGTGATCACAGCAGGTGAGGGCTTTCAGCTTTGTGGTGTTGGAGAATAAACTAAAGTCATAGGGGAGATAATCGTACGACATGAGGAAAACAAATCAGAAAAATAAAGACGCTTTTATTTCTTCTTATTAACACAAATGATATAAAACTTTAAGTGTTATATACTTTTTAAAATAATGGGATAAGCCTATTTTAAAAAATAATACATTGCTAAATTATTTGTATTTTCTGAGTATAAAATTTGAGCTTATTTTTATTAAAAATTTTATACATGTATGTAATGGAAAAATACACATTTTTTGGTTGTTATCTAGGATCTGAAGGTTTGAACGGGCCAATGAGTATCCTCATCATTGAAGCATTCTATGGAGGCTCCCATAAACAGCTGGTGGATCTTCTCCAAGAAGAGTTAGGAGACTGCGTCCTTTATACTCTTCCTGCAAAGAAATGGCATTGGAGAGCCCGGACATCTGCTTTATACTTCTCTCAGACCATTCCCATCAGTGAGCATTACAGGTAATTAGAGCTCAGGATGCATTTTCAGCTTTTACAAAAAAATACCTATTACGAGGATGTTGCTTCTCTATCAGCATCTTTGAGAATTTCTGCAACTATGGAATTGGTTATTATGACTACAGTAGATATTTCTTTAGAGAAAGCAGAGCAGTGAAGTACACTCATCCTCTAAAGACACCTGGTCAGTGGGAAAGAAGCTTCATTTAGAACCAACCACATGTGTTTTCTCATTGTCTTGTGATTTCATTATGTACATGGGTGTGAGTGTGGGTAACAATTTTTGGCCTAAGAGTAGATCTTCTAGTTTGGTTCATTGTATCTGCTCTGTACAAATAACCAGAGTTGAAAGGCGGATATGTCCAAGGCTTTAAAGTCTGTTGAGGTAGAGATAGGCAAGTGCAATGAGAGGTGAAAGATGGAGAGGTTGATTTGGACTGTGACAAACTGGAAGTGGCTTTATAGAGTTGGTAACCTTTGACCTACTCTTGAAGGATGAGTAGATTTGAGGGACACAGAACTCAATTCTGAATTCTGGTTTGTTAGGAAGTAGGAAATAGGAGGACCTATTAGAAAGGGTCTCATGAGCTGGGCATGGTGGCATGTGCCTCTGGTCTCAATTACTCAGGAGGCTGAGGTGGGAGGATTACTTGATCCCAGGAGTTCAAGGCTGCAGTGAGCCAGGATTGTGCCACTGCACTCCACCCTGGGCAATGGAGTGAGACCCTCATCCCTAATAATAATAATAATAATTTAGAAAATAAGAGTCTTATGGGACACACTGAAAAGATGGAGGTAAATACTCATTACATTTTAACTGAGAGAAGAGACGGGATGGAATTCCCTTGAGCATCTCTTCCTCCTCATTCTCCATTTGTATGTATTCCTGTGTATTCTCCTGATGGTTAAATAGTGGAAGACTCTCCTATGGTGGTTAACATAGCTAATGTTTTTGCCATTTATTATCACAAATAATATAAAACTTTAAGTGTTATGTACTTTTTTAAATAATGGGATAAGCCTGTGTGTAGGACTGCATTGGTTTGGGCAGGAATGAAAAGTTTTGGGCTGATAATGAATGGAGTTAGAGCAGATAGGTTCTTAGAGGAAGAGCATGTTGGAAGCTGCAATGCCCACCTTACCTCCAGTACCTGTACCCATCTGCTGCTTGTAAAGTGGCCACAGGAGACATAGCAGCTTGTGACTTAAATGTAACTTGCTGTTCCTAGTAGGAACTTGAGGAATTCAGAGAGTAACCATTTTCTGTATGAAAGCCATGTATCGTCTCTGAGAATGCATAGCGTCAGATGGAATAACGGTGAGCATTCCAGTTACATGGCTTAGGATTTTAAAAGTAAAATGCTGTTTTAGTGCGTATTCAGAATTTTTTTTTTTAATGTAAAGTGTATCCTTCTTTACATAATTTCGTGTTTTATATTCTGATATAGTGAATATTGTGAATATAGTAATAAGTGAATATTGTTGAGTCACTAATAGTATGAGGAATTTCAATGAACATGTTAATATAAAAGTTGTGACTATTGCTGTGTTAAAATATGACTGTTTATGGTTGCTTTCACATCCCATTTAATTGTGTTTTTGCAGCACCAATTGTATTATATTACTTAAGGTCAAGTAATCCAGTTGACTTTATGGCACTTTTTCATTTAACAGTACCATTAAATATAATAAATTTCTACAGTGATTAGAACATTAAAATGAGCCATTTCTATATCTGTTGTTTGATTTTATTTTGATTATGCAGTTTTTCAGAATTACATTATTGTATCACAAATATATGCGTGTGGATAGCAAGCAAACACTTCTGCGCATATGGCTTCCCTACTCCCTTTGAAGCCTGAAGCATTTGAGGCTAAGTGTCACAGTGCTCTTTGAAGCAGTCTTATTTGGGAGGTGGATATCTGAAAGATGATGATGTATAAAGCCTTACTCTCTGATAGCCATAACCTCCACGGCCTAACAATGGTGTCTGTCGTCTTTTAAGGTATGCCATTTAGCCTTTGCAGTTAACCATACTAATGTAATCAGTCTTTAGCCCAAAGACATGTCTTGCTAGTTTAACTTATATTTGAACAATGATAACTTCTCTACTCTTTACCAAGTAACTCTTTTGAATACTTTTAGAAAAATAGCAGTAGCATGAAAACTTGATGGCACAATACTAAGTTAACAAATACGTGCATTCAGTCCTAGATTGAAGTGCAAGAGTAACCTTTTGTTACACCAAATAAGTCTGAGATCTGTGGAGATTTTTAAAGATATGAAAAATTTGTGCTCTCCAATTGTTACTTTTTTGTATACTTGGTACATGAAATCATCAAAACTCATAAAGGTAAAATGATTAAACACCAATATTGCCTTCTATGCAAAATACTCTGAACAAATACGATTGTGTCTGATGAGAAAGACTTTGAATGTAGGTACATATTGGTGTTTTTCTCACTTCTGAACATGTAGTTGTTGTTGTTATAATCTTACTATCTGAAATGTATTTTATTATTAAAAGAATAAATACTTCAGCCTAATTAATCAGTTTGATTCTGCTTTATCTTGACAACTAAAAGAATATATCATGGTTCATGTTAGAGATGTTTAGTTTTATTATAGATTACGAAAGCTCAAGTTATTCTGTCAAAAGTTGTCAATAGTTATTGTTATTCTTAGGTTATATTACAGCTTTGCCTTAGATACTTCACAAGATACAGAAAAAAGTTTTGACTATGGGGCTTGAGGGAAGGCATTAACTTTTGTGTTATGAAATGTTAATCATTCGTTCCAGGATGAAGCATTTCTACTTTCTTAGACTGTACCTTAAACTAGATATCGAGGATATTTTATTCATTTTTCATTCTGTAGTATCTTTACTGAACTGAAAGAATCTCTGTTATTTAAAAATCATTTTTTTTCACCCTCAGATGCTTACAATTACATTTTTTGTTTCATCTGAGGTATTGTGACGGATACTGATCATTGCCCACTTACCAGCCTTCTTCCTTGTTAACAGAATCACAGTTTTCTTTAGGATGGATAAGTATCCAGCCCTTGGGAGTGAAGCAACATGGACTTAAATTAGTTAGGATGATCCCATTCTCCTTTGCCAAATTTTCCCTACTCTCCTTGCAGCTTGGGTTGATCAGTCTCCAAGTTGTGGCAAATTAGAGTTAAGTGGGTGACTACTGGGAGTTCTTCCAGCAAAATGGTTTGATTTTAAATTTTACTTATAAAAGAAGAAGGCCAACTCCCCTTTCTTACATTTGACTGGTTGTGATGTCTGCAACCATGAAGTACAAGCATGAGGACAGAACCCCTGGATTGCCATAAATGGCTGATGGGAGGCTGCAAAGTGCCTGGATTAGTGGTGGATATGTGATTTGAGTTCAAGTCTGGCCACCTGCAAAGACTATATACTATTCGTTCTTCTTAAGTCCATTGTCTTAACAACTATTCTGTCTTAATTCCAGGTAAAGCATGGTAAATTATTTAATTAAATTAAACCTAAGTATTTCTTGATTAAAATATATATTATTGTATTTTACAATTAGAAGTAGGTATGGTACTTCACCCAGTCTTGAGACATATTGCAGTTCTTGATTCTTGTTGGACGCTGGAGGGCCAGACACCACGTGTTTTCTGGGTCTGTGAATCTGTGATGTTCTCTTAATCCTCAAAAGTCACAGGTCATTTGAATTTTCCTCTTTTGAGGCTTTTCTGTCATTTAGCCTACTAGCTTTGCTATCCTATACTGCCTTGTTGTGGGGTCTTCTTTTGGTTTGTTTTTGTACCAGTCTTGCTCTCCTATCTAGCCAGCACACACCGCGGCCTAATTCTAGACTTGCATGGCCCTTAGGGCTTCTTCCACAGTATTTCATCTCGCTAAAGTTTCCTCTGATTGACAGGATTGTTTAATTTAGGCATGCTGACTTTATGTTGAAAATGTAGCTGACAATTAGTTAGGATGATCCCATTCTCATCCTAGATTCAGTAGATCTACAAATCTACTGAAGTAGGATAATCCTGCAAACCAAATAGCCAACCATTTGGTCAGTCTCTGCCACTTTCTGTCTGTCTCTTTCCTCTCTCCCCCTCTCTTCTCTTTCTCATATACACATATATGCGTGCGTGCGCGCGCACATACATACACACACATACACACACACCTGCACACACGTTCTTCATTGTAAAACTAGAACTTAAACCTGTCATCATTATCCCTAAAGGATGGTTTCTAGGCTTCATCTTTTCCATGTTCCTTTGTGTTCCTTTGTCAGTGTTCTCGATGAAAATATTCCAGTTAGGAGGGGGACAAGGTTTTCTTGTTATGGAGTTTGTAGTTTATTCTTACCACAGATTGCCAATTCAAAAGTGTTTGTGTAGTTAGTAGCAAGCACTGTGAAACCATTGCTTCCCAGGAGTTAAGCACTGCAGTGCAACTTCAAGTAGATACTTTTAATATCCTTTCTAGCTTATTTAAAAAAATAAAATATTACATGTAAGGTTCTATACGGCTCCCTGGGTAGCAGTTCATATGGATACAAGACATTATTCCTAACAAACTCTGTGCCTTAAAGACCTCTAGGATAAATCTCTTGTATATTTACCCTTTAAATTTGACAACTGTATTTTAAAAGACAAACTGGATGTTTATTATACTTTTACAGAGGGGAGACAATCATTATTTTTAATGAATGGAATGGAAGATAAAAGGGGAAAAAACCCATCCCCAAATGGATGCAAAATATATTATATAAAAGAACTCTGACTGTAGAATAAGGGCCATCATAGTTTTGCTTTTATAATTAATGTGCTTGTTTTTAACGTAATAATTGAGACTATTAGTCTGATTTTAGAGCACTTCTTATCTAGTTGTTTTTAAGTGTTGAGTGTCTTCATGGTTAGTCTGCATATGACAGGAAAAAAATTAGAAAAATGAAAGATGTATTTAATTCTGCTTTCATCTCTAACATTTATTTGTTTATCTGAGA